TCATGCTGCAGGAGCAGTACGCCTACGAGAAGGTATGAAGGCTCCAGATGTTGGTAGAACATCAGTCAGTCAGCAGATGAAACAACGTCACAGAGACGATGTGTCGATAGGACAGTCTATAGTTTCACACAAATGTCGTTTCTCCGAACCAAACATCAGAGTTTTCTTAGAGAAGACCTCCAAGACTCAGGTCAGTCTCCACCTACACATAACAACACTCAAAAGTGAGGGGGGGGCATGTAACGGAGAAAAGCGCTTGAGCCTCTACTACAGACATTACAGTAATGATGTAGGTGGTAACCTAGGAGACCGTGGAGGGTCACAGGTCATACTCATGGTTAAATTCTGCTCCAAACCAAACCTGACATCCTTCAGATTTTCCAAACCGAACTCTAACATCTGAAAAAACAGGTGAAGACCAAACTTCGTCTCGCTAATGTTAAACGCTAAACGTTACTGTCGCTAACGCTAAACGTTACTGTCGCTAACGTTACCTCATTAACTCTGTCGCTAACGTTAAGCGTTACTGTCGCTAACGTTTCATCATTAACTCTGTCGCTAACGCTAAACGTTACTGTCGCTAACGTTTCATCATTAACTCTGTCGCTAACGCTAAACGTTACTGTCGCTAAACGTTACTGTCGCTAACGCTAAACGTTACTGTCGCTAACGTTTCATCATTAACTCTGTCGCTAACGTTAAACGTTACTGTCGCTAACGTTACCTCATTAACTCTATCGCAAACGCTAAACGTTACTGTCGCTAACGTTTCATCATTAACTCTGTCGCTAACGTTAAACGTTACTGTCGCTAACATTCCCTCATTAACTCTGTCGCTAACGCTAAACGTTACTGTCACTTACGTTTCATCATTAACTCTGTCGCTAACGCTAAACGTTACTGTCGCTAACGTTACCTCATTCACTCTGACGCTAACGTTAAACGTTCCTGTCGCTAACGTTACCTCATTAACTCTATCGCAAACGCTAAACATTACTGTCACTAACGTTAAGCGTTACTGTCGCTAACGCTAAACGTTACTGTCGCTAACGTTTCATCATTAACTCTGTCGCTAACGCTAAACGTTACTGTCGCTAACGTTTCATCATTAACTCTATCGCTAACGTTAAACGTTTCTGTCGCTAACGTTACCTCATTCACTCTGACGCTAACATTCGGGTCATTTCCACAAACTGAAACTGAATATTCGTCAAACTTCTCCGTCTTCGGTTCCTTCCTATCGACCTTTTCTTTGCTCTCCCAGTAGAGCTTGACAGGAAGTTGAGACTGCAGTGTTTGTTTTTCAAAATAAAGTTCTTAGCAGAGCAGTGTCACTGGTCACACTCTTATTATGGTCTGTAGATGTGTGTAAATATAGACTTTATGTTCATACAAAATCATTTGAATAAAAAAAGGATAGGACAGTCTATAGTTTCACACAAATGTCGTTTCTCCGAACCAAACATCAGAGTTTTCTTAGAGAAGACCTCCAAGACTCAGGTCAGTCTCCACCTACACATAACAACACTCAAAAGTGAGGGGGGGGCATGTAACGGAGAAAAGCGCTTGAGCCTCTACTACAGACATTACAGTAATGATGTAGGTGGTAACCTAGGAGACCGTGGAGGGTCACAGGTCATACTCATGGTTAAATTCTGCTCCAAACCAAACCTGACATCCTTCAGATTTTCCAAACCGAACTCTACCATCTGAAAAAACAGGTGAAGACCAAACTTCGTCTCGCTAACGCTAAACGCTAAACTTTACTGTCGCTAACGTTTCATCATTAACTCTGTCGCTAACGCTAAACGTTACTGTCGCTAACGTTTCATCATTAACTCTGTCGCTAACGTTAAGCGTTACTGTCGCTAACGTTACCTCATTCACTCTGACGCTAACGTTAAACGTTACTGTCGCTAACGTTACCTCATTAACTCTATCGCAAACGCTAAACGTTACTGTCGCTAACGTTTCATCATTAACTCTGTCGCTAACGTTAAACGTTACTGTCGCTAACATTCCCTCATTAACTCTGTCGCTAACGCTAAACGTTACTGTCACTTACGTTTCATCATTAACTCTGTCGCTAACGCTAAACGTTACTGTCGCTAACGTTACCTCATTCACTCTGACGCTAACGTTAAACGTTCCTGTCGCTAACGTTACCTCATTAACTCTATCGCAAACGCTAAACGTTACTGTCGCTAACGTTTCATCATTAACTCTGTCGCTAACGCTAAACGTTACTGTCGCTAACGTTTCATCATTAACTCTGTCGCTAACGCTAAACGTTACTGTCACTAACGTTTCATCATTAACTCTGTCGCTAACGTTAAACGTTTCTGTCGCTAACGTTACCTCATTCACTCTGACGCTAACATTCGGGTCATTTCCACAAACTGAAACTGAATATTCGTCAAACTTCTCCGTCTTCGGTTCCTTCCTCTCGACCTTTTCTTTGCTCTCCCAGTAGAGCTGGACAGGAAGTTGAGACTGCAGTGTTTGTTTTTCAAAATAAAGTTCTTAGCAGAGCAGCGTCACTGGTCACAGTCTTATTATGGTCTGTAGATGTGTGTTAATATAGACTTTATTTTCATACAAAATCATTTGAATAAAAAAAGTTATAATTCTGAAGACGTGGCGGCCTCTATTCTTCGCCACGCTCATCAACACGACGTTTAAATCCTGTAGTATGTTTACAGCGCGTTTAAGGTACGTTTGTAGTATTTTAATAGTATTTACGGTAAGTTTACAGTATTTTTAAGGTAAGTTTATAGTATATTTATAGTTCTGTTTACAGTAACGTTTGATGTCTTCTTCTGGTCCAGCCTCACGTGGTCTGTGGCGAGCAGCTGGTCCACAGTCCCTACATGCAGTGCCTGGCGTCCCTGGCGGTGGGTCTCCATCTGGACCAGCTCCTGTGCCGCCCCCCCGTCCCCCCGCCCCTCAGACACTGCCCCCTGGAGTCCGGAACCGCCGTCTGGTGTGCGAGCGAGTGGGCGTGGCTGGACTGTTTCTCCACCACGGTGAAGGCGGCGGAAGCTCTCGCTCGAGGCGCCACCTTCCCCGAGTCGTTCTCGGTCCCGGACCTGGAACCGGTCCCTAAAGAGGAGCTGGTCCTGCTGATGGTGAGAGACCCGGCTCTGGTCTGTGGTTCTGACCCGTTCGGACTCTGAGGTAACGGCGTCTGCTCTCTTCCTACAGGACAACAGTAAGTGGGGGTCCGGGATGGACGAGCAGATCATGTCCTGGGCCACGTCTAGACCTGAGGTGAGTCACACGGAGACCTGGACTCTTTTAGAGTCCAGGAGCTGCTCTTTGACCCGGTTCGGTCCTCCTGACCCCCTCCTCTCTGGTCTTTGTAGGACTGGCACCTGGGGGGGAAGTGTGACGTGTTCCTGTGGGGGGCGGGGAGACACGGTCAGCTGGCCGAGGCCGGCAGGAACATCCTGGTCCCGACGACGGCGCCGTCCTTCTCCCAGGCCCAGCAGGTACGTGGACCAGATGGTGTCCTCCTCAGACTAATCCAGAACCTGACCCAGGTCCATGGTCCTAAAGCTGGTCTGCAGACCTCCTTCATCTGTCTCCTCCTCTCTGTCTCCATCAGGTGGTCTGCGGTCAGAACTGCACCTTCGTCATCCAGCCTAACGGGACGGTCTTGGCCTGTGGAGAAGGAAGTTATGGACGTCTGGGTCAGGGGAACTCTGACGACCTTCATGTCCTCACCGTCATCTCAGCTCTGCAAGGTGGACAAACATCTCATCTCATGATTTCTCATGTCCTCACATTCCTCACAGTCCCTCATGTCCCTCATGTTCCTCATGTCCCTCATGATTTCTCATGTTCCTCATGTCCCTCATGTTCCTCATGTTCCTCATGTCCCTCATGCTCTCATGTCCCTCATGTTCCTCATGTTCCTCGTGTTCCTCATGCTCTCATGTCCCTCATGTTCCTCACAGTCCCTCATGTCCCTCATGTCCCTCATGTTCCTCATGTCCCTCATGTTCCTCATGTTCCTCATGTCCCTCATGTCCCTCATGTCCTCACGTTCCTGGTCCCTCATGCTCTCATGTCCCTCATGTCCCTCATGTTCCTCATGTCCCTCATGTCCCTCATGTTCCTCATGTTCCTCATGTTCCCTCATGTTCCTCACGTTCCTCATGTTCCTCATGTCCCAACCTGTGTCTTCTTTCTCCTGACCATTTTGACTCACCTCTGGTCCCTCATGTTCCCCTCATGTTCCTCATGTCCTCCTTCTCCTGACGGTTTTGTCTCGTCTCCGGTCCCTCAGGTTTCGTGGTGACCCAGCTGGTGACGTCCTGCGGCAGTGATGGTCACTCCATGGCGTTGACGGAGAGCGGCGAGGTGTTCAGCTGGGGGGACGGAGACTACGGCAAGCTGGGTCACGGGAACAGTGACCGTCAGCGCCGGCCCAGACAGATCGAGGCTCTTCAGGGAGAGGAGGTGGTCCAGGTCAGAGAGGAGGAGGAGGAGGAGGAGGTCTGGTGGTTTTTCTTCAGCTGTGATGAATCAGAGATCTTAAAGTTCTGCTCTTCTCTCTTCTCTCCTGATCTTCAGATGTCGTGTGGTTTCAAACACTCGGCCGTGGTCACAGCTGACGGGAAGCTCTTCACCTTTGGAAACGGGGATTACGGCCGACTGGGTTTAGGAAACACGTCCAACAAGAAGCTTCCAGAGAAGGTCACGGCTCTGGAGGGATACCAAGTGGGACAGGTAGGACTGAGGAGGACCAGCAGGTGGAGAGAAGTTTGAGATGAAGAATCAGTTTGACTGAAGAGTCCGAGGAGGACGAGCCGCAGCACATCACCCTGACCTCTGTGTGACCTCTGTGTGACCTCTGTGTGACCTCCTCAGGTGGCCTGTGGTCTGAACCACACCCTGGTGGTCTCTGCTGACGGGATGATGGTCTGGGCCTTCGGTGACGGAGACTACGGGAAACTGGGACTGGGTAACTCCACGGCCAAGTCCTCACCTCAGGTAGGATCTGAGAGTCCTCCTGTGAGCTGGACCGGGTTCAGGAGTTCATGTGTGGAGGTTCTGAAGGTTCTGAAGTTCTCATCTCCTCGTTTCCTCAGAAAGTGGACGTTCTGTGTGGGATCGGCATCAAGAAGGTGGCCTGTGGGACCCAGTTCTCCGTGGCTCTGACCAAAGACGGAAAAGTGTTCACCTTTGGACAAGGTAGGACATCAGGTCTAGGAGGACTCTGGGACTCTGGAGTCCAGGTGACAGAGAACTTTAGAAGTAAACAGGAATGAGGTCAGACCGGGGGTCTGTTCTACGAAGCAGGTTCAACTTAGCGAGGTCGCCTTGGAGCTACTTCGCTCAACTCAGCGCGGTAGCCAGCGGTCTCGCTACACGGTTTTACGACGCTGGTTCTCAACCTCGTAAGTTGATCCAGCTCTGCTATGAGCGCGTGCACACATATAAGGCGGAGCCTGCCGCATCTGACCAATCACGAACATGGATCAGTCTGGAGCGTCAGAGCAGGCTGGAGAGTGAAGGACCGCGGACTTTACAAACGAGGAACAGGAGACGATCATGAGAAAGTATGAAGAATTCAAATCTATCATAAACCTCAAAAACAACACCGTCGCCGCTGCAAAATCACAGAGGGAACGCTGTCAGAAAAGTAATCTTTGATGTCATTATCACCCTGAATTAACACTGTTCAACATGCGCTTTTAACTAAGGTGACAGTCCCCGAATTGGATGATCTGTCCTCGGCTAAAGCTGTCCCTGAAAATGTCCCTGATTTAAGCGTTTCATGAATGAGAACAAAAATGTTGCATGTGGGCGAGAACAACGGTTATTACAGTAGGTAGGAAGAACAAGTAAGCAGTCCTGAACAACAGTATTTACGGGGTTATTATAAGGGGCGTGTGCTGCTACTAAATAGTACAGAGATGTTATCTGTGATCAGCCCATGTCCATTCATTCCCAAGATGAATCATTCATTTGTTCATTCCTATCATGTTTACATGTTTTGTGTAATATGTCGGCCATATGAGCCTTTCATAAAGGTGGTCATCCGGAGAAAACTCTCCCTGAAAACTCTCGCGAGCCGGAGTGCTCCTCCTCGGACAACGCGAGCACCGAGGTCTACAGGATCCTCCGAGAACGAACAAGCCGTTTTTGAGAGAGCTCATTGGTCAGTGGGCGGGGTTTTTATACTCGGTGAGTTCAATCTGGAACTTAACCTGCCCCGGAGCAGGTTAGCCGTTCAGCGTACGTTGCTATGGAGACTCGCCTCGCTAAGAAGTGAACCCGCGTCGTAGAACAGGAAACCCCGAACTTATCCTCGAAGTTACCTCGCTAAGCAGTAATCCTGCTTCGTAGAACAGGCCCCTGGAGAACCTGTGAGGACAGGAGGATGAAGATGATGGAGGTCTTCATTTAACCATCAGGAACTCTCAGACACTTTATTGATGATATTTTCTCTTTTATTGATTTCACAGATCAATATTCCATCAATTCTTTACATTATTGAACAAATTTCCAAATGTATCGAATATTTTCGTACTTCTCCATCGTGGAGCAGAGACGCAGGTCGACATCAACTCTTTAAAGTTCCAGCAGAATAACTGAAGTCAAATCAAACTTCTCACTCCTCTCTGTTCTCCGGTCGGAGGGTAAACAAGAAACACAATAAACACATGAGGGATCAATAATCTATAATACACCATTACCTTCCTGCACAAAGTCTGAGACACTAAATCAACTCAGTTCTTCAGGAGTTTTTAAAGTTCTTTGTGGAGACGAGAACATCATGTTTTCATCGATCATCACCTCGACCCGATCCTCCGTTTTTGGTTCCTCTGTTTCCAGACGGTTTCTGCTGATGGTCTTTTTAATCGACACCAACATGACTGTAGATCTGTCTTCACCTCCTGACCTCCTTATCATCCTGCTTCTCTTTTTATCAAATATCAAAGTTTCACTTTTGTTCTTCATCCTCTTCTTCATCTGCTGACAGTCAAATATAAAAACCAGAACATCAACAAATATGATCCTCATTATTCTCCTCTCCTCCTCCTCTCCTCTCCTCCTCCTCTCCTCCTCCTCTCCTCCTCCTCCTCTCTCTCCTCCTCCTCCTCTCCTCCTCCTCTACTCTCCTCCTCCTCCTCTCCTCTCCTCCTCCTCTCCTCCTCCTCTCCCCCTCCTCCTCTCCTCCTCCTCCTCCTCTCCTCCTCCTCTCCCTTCCCCTCCTCCTCTCCTCCTCCTCCTCTCCTCCTCCTCCTCCTCCTCCTCCTCTCTCTCCTCCTCCTCCTCCTCTCCTCCTCCTCTCCTCCTCCTCCTCTCCTCTCCTCCTCCTCCTCCTCCTCCTCCTCTCCTCTCCCCTCCTCCTCTCCTCTTCTCCTCCTCTCCTCCTCCTCTCGCCCTCCTCCTCTCCTCTCCCGTCCTCTCCTCCCCTCCTCTCCTCTCCTCCTCTCCCCTCCTCTCTTCTCCTCCTCTCCTCTCCCCTCCTCTCCTCCTCTCCTCTCCTCCTCCTCTCCTCCTCTCCTCCTCTCTCTCCTCCTCTCCTCTCCTCCTCTCCTCTCCTCCTCCTCTCCTCCTCTCCTCCTCCTCTCCTCTCCTCCTCCCCTCCTCCTCTCCTCCCCTCCTCTCTCCTCCTCTCCTCCTCTCTCCTCCTCTCCTCCTCTCCTCCTCCTCTCCTCTCTCCTCCTCTCCTCCTCTCCTCCTCCTCTCCCCTCCTCCTCCTCCTCTCCTCCCCTCCTCTCCTCCTCCTCTCCTCCTCTCATCCTCTCCTCCTCTCCTCCTCCTCCTCCTCTCCTCCTCCCCTCCTCTCCTCCTCCTCTCCTCCTCTCCTCCTCCTCTCCTCCTCTCCTCTCTCCTCTCCTCCTCTCCTCCTCCTCTCCTCCCCTCCTCTCCTCTCCCCTCCTCCTCTCCTCTTCTCCTCTCCTCCTCCTCTCCTCCTCCTCTCCTCCTCCTCTCCTCTCCTCTCCCCCTCCTCCTCTCCTCCTCCCCCTCCTCTCCCCCTCCTCTCCTCTCCTCCTCCTCCTCTCCTCCCCTCCTCTCCTCTCCCCTCCTCCTCTCCTCTTCTCCTCCTCTCCTCCTCTCCTCCTCCTCTCCTCCTCTCCTCCTCCTCTCCTCCTCTCCTCCTCCTCTCCTCCTCTCCTCTCCCCTCCTCTCTCCTCCTCCCCTCCTCCTCCTCCTCTCCTCCTCTCCTCCCCTCCTCCTCCTCCTCCCCCCTCTCCTCCTCCTCCTCCTCTCCTCTCCTCCTCTCTCCTCCCTCCTCTCCTCCTCCTCTCCTCCTCTCCTCCTCTCCTCTCCTCCTCCTCCTCCCCTCCTCTCCTCTCCCCTCCTCCTCTCCTCTTCTCCTCCTCTCCTCCTCCTCTCGCCCTCCTCCTCTCCTCTCTCCTCCTCTCCTCCTCCTCCTCTCCTCCTCTCCTCCTCCTCTCCTCCCCTCCTCACTCCTCCCCTCCTCTCCTCTCCTCCTCCCCTCCTCCCTCCTCCTCCTCCTCCTCCTCTCCTCTCCTCCTCTCCTCCTCCTCTCCTCCTCCTCCTCCTCCTCCTCCTCCTCCTCCTCCTCTCTCCTCCTCCTCTCCTCTCCTCTCCTCCTCCTCTCGCCCTCCTCCTCTCCTCTCCTCTCCTCTCCTCCACTCCTCCTCCTCCCCTCCTCTCCTCTCCTCCTCCCCTCCTCTCCTCTCAGACCGTCTGATTGGTCTTCCTGAAGGTCGGGCCAGGAACCACAACCGTCCCCAGCAGGTCCCGGCTCTGTCAGGGGTCCAGATCCAGGATGTTGTTGTAGGAGCTGAACACAGTCTGGCGTTGTCGTCCACAGGAGACGTTTACACCTGGGGGAGTAACTCGGAGGGACAGGTGAGCTCAGCTGATCAGGTCCTCTGACCCTCTTCACGTGAAGTCTGGACTAACTCTGGTTCTGGTTCTGGTTTCTGCAGCTGGGTCTGGGTCACACCAACCACGTCAGAGAGCCCACCATGGTGACGGTTCTGCAGGGAAAGAACATCCACCAGATCTCTGCAGGACGCTGTCACAGCGCCGCCTGGACCGCCCCCTGTGTGCCGCCGCGAGCTCCAGGTCAGACCCTCACTGACACACACAGACACACAGACACAGACACACACACAGACACACTCACACAGACACACACAGACACACACACAGACCCTCACTGACACACACAGACACACACACACACACACAGACACAGTCACACACACACAGACACACAGACACACAGACACACACACACACACACAGACACACACACACACACACAGACACACACACACACACAGACACACACAGACACACACAGACACACACACACACACACACACACACACACACACACACACACAGACACACACAGACACTCACACACACACACACACAGACACTCTCACACACACACACAGACACTCTCACACACACACACACACACACACACACAGACACACACAGACACACACACACAGACACACACAGACACACACACACAGACACACATACACACACACACACACACAGACACACACACACACACTCACACACACTCACACACAGACACACACAGACACACACACACACACACACACACAGACACACACACACACACACACACACACACACACAGACACACACACACACATACACACACACAGACATACACACACACAGACACACACACACACAGACACACACACACTCACACACACAGAATCACCAGAGTTCTTAGTCCTGGATCCATGTGGTCCCACTCAGTCCAGGAGAAAAACCTCCTCATCAGGATCCAGGTCTGCTGGACTTTGTAGACCTGAATGAGCGTTTTCCTCTTAATTCACTCTGATGTCTCCTCCTGCTCCTGCTCCTCCTCTTCTCTCTCCTCCTCCTCCTGCTCCTCTTCCTACTGCTTCTCCTCCTGCTCCTCCTGCTCCTCCTCCTCCTCCTCTTCCTCTTTCTCCTCCTCCTGCTCCTCCTCTGTCCCTCTTCTTAAACCTCCTTCTCTTCCTTCTCCTCCTGCTCCTCTTCCTACTGCTCCTCCTCCTGCTCCTCCTCTTCCTCTTTCTCCTCCTCCTCTCCCTCTTCCTGCTCCTCCTCTGTCCCTCTTCTTAAACCTCCTTCTCTTCCTTCTCCTCCTGCTCCTCTTCCTACTGCTCCTCCTCCTGCTCCTCCTCTTCCTCTTTCTCCTCCTCCTGCTCCTCCTCTGTCCCTCTTCTTTAACCTCCTCCTCCTCCTCTTCCTACTGCTCCTCCTCCTGCTCCTCCTCCTGCTCCTCCTCCTCAGGCTCCTCTGTCCCTCTCCAGCTGGGCCTCCCTGTGGCGGTTCCTCCTCAGTACAGCGGTCTGAAGGAGGTGAGCATGGAGGCGGTGAGGGCTCGTCTGCGCCTCCTCTACCACTTCTCAGACCTGATGTACTCCTCCTGGAGACTCCTGAACCTCAGCCCCAACAACCAGGTAGGACCAGAACCAGAACCAGAACTTTACAGAGAAGCAGACTGAGCTCGTCTGGGGGTCCATAGACTCAGTCTGGGGGTCCTTAGACTCAGTCTGGGGGTCCTTAGACTCAGTCTGGGGGTCCTTAGACTCAGTCTGGGGGGTAACCTTTCTCCCTCTGATCCTGACTCTGCAGAGCTGCACCTCCCACTACAACGCTGGTACCTGGGGGATCGTTCAGGGCCAGCTCAGACCCCTGTTGGCCCCCCGGGTCTACACCCTGCCTATGGTCCGCTCCATAGGAAAGACCATGGTCCAAGGCAAGAACTACGGACCCCAGATCACCGTCAAACGGATCTCCACACGGTCAGTGGTCACCTGCCCTCTGGGTCCAGGTCTTCAGGACTCCAGAGTCCTCCCTGTGTCTGATCCAGGTCTGGGCGATCCTGATATATTTTGTTGAGTCGTCCGATCACGATTATTATCACGATTTTCTTTAAAGTGTCGGTTTAACGCTTTAACGTGTCTGAAAACGGACGCGCTCAGCGATGATGCGCCCAAGAGTCACACAGCTGATCGCCGTGATCGAACTGAAATTGATCACCATCATTGATCTCCTGGTCCCGGTCTGACCCGGTCTCTCCTCCCTCAGGGGTCGGAAGTGTAAACCCATCCTGGTCCAGATCGCTCGTCAGGTGGTGAAGCTGAACGCCTCGGACCTCCGCCTCCCCTCCAGAGCCTGGAAGGTCAAACTGGTGGGGGAGGGGGCAGATGATGCTGGCGGGGTGTTTGACGACACCATCACAGAGATGTGTCAGGTACGAGCCGGTCCGTCAGGGTCTACATCTGAAACCGGGTCATTTCTGATCCACCTGGTCCAGTTCTGGTCCAGTTCTGGTCCTCTCTGAGGTTCCTGTGTTCCTCTGTTCCTCAGGAGCTGGAGACCGGCGTGGTGGACCTGCTCATCCCCTCCCCCAACGCCACGGCCGAGGTGGGCTACAACAGAGACAGGTGAGTCAGATGAGGGCCCGTGTAGACCTGGACCCGGAGCTGCTGAAGTCCACAGACGGACTCTGATCCTGGTCTCTGTCTCCTCTGCTCCTCTCAGGTTCCTCCTGAACCCCTCAGCCTGCCTGGACGAGCACATGCTCCAGTTTAAGTTCCTGGGGATCCTGATGGGCGTGGCCATCCGCACCAAGAAGCCCCTGGACCTGCACCTGGCCCCCCTGGTCTGGAAACAGCTGTGCTGCATCCCCCTCCTGCTGGAGGACCTGGAGGAGGTGGACCTGCTCTACGTTCAGACCCTCAAGAGCATTCTTCACATTGAAGACAGCGGCATCACCGAGGACAACTTCCACGAGGTGGGTCAGCCCTCGCGGCGAGGGGCGGTTCAGCACTTTTTAACAGTTTCTGACCCGGGTTCAGTGAAGACCTGTGAGGATCTGATGGTCCTGATGGTCCTGGTCTAACACTGACCCGGGTCAGAACCGACCCAGAGTGAAGGTTTACTGAGGTGGTTCTGTTTGTGGTTCTAGATGATTCCTCTGGACTCGTTCGTCGGGCAGAGCGCAGACGGGAAGATGGTTCCCATCATCCCCGGAGGAAACAGCATCCCTCTGACCTTCTCCAACAGGAAGGAGTACGTGGAGCGAGCCGTCGAGTACCGCCTCCACGAGATCGACCGCCAGGTGAGACCGACCGACCCGGGCCAGAACTTCAGGGTCAGGGTCAGACTCAGACTCAGACTCAGGGTCAGGGTCAGGGTCAGGGTCAGACTCAGGGTCAGGTTCAGGGTCAGGGTCAGACTCAGACTCAGGGTCAGGTTCAGGGTCAGGGTCAGACTCAGGTTCAGGGTCAGACTCAGGGTCAGACTCAGGGTCAGACTCAGGGTCAGACTCAGACTCAGGGTCAGACTCAGACTCAGGGTCAGGGTCAGACTCAGGGTCAGACTCAGGTTCAGGGTCAGACTCAGGGTCAGACTCAGGGTCAGGTTCAGGGTCAGGTTTAGGGTCAGGGTCAGACTCAGGGTCAGACTCAGGGTCAGGGTCAGACTCAGGGTCAGATTCAGGGTCAGACTCAGGTTCAGGGTCAGACTCAGGGTTCAGGGTCAGACTCAGGGTCAGGGTCAGACTCAGGGTCAGGGTCCGGGTCAGACTCAGACTCAGGGTCAGACTCAGGGTCAGGGTCAGACTCAGGGTAAGGGTCCGGGTTAGGGTCCGGGTTAAAAGGGACTTTTTAGACTTCTTCTGGGTCCGGAGAAACCTTCGAACCTTCGTGTTTCCGCGGCGTCTGTCGAAGTCTGCAGACAGATTTAGATTTCGCTCTGACTCAGCGTTTTTCAAAACCTGAAGAAAATCCTGATGTAGACCACCGACCCACAACGACCCACAACGACCCACAACGACCCACAACGACCCACAACGACCCTCTACAGCCGATGAAACTGATTGAACAGTGTCATCGGCTGTATCATCCGCCGCGGTGAAGAGTGGGCGTGTTTGGAGGGATTTTCCCGTTCTGCGCCGCGGCGTTGGTCTCATATTCAGGTGATCGGTGATCATCGGGACGTTTGGATATCAGGTCATAAATTAAACTTTTAGCAGATGCCCCGCCCCCCTCCTCCGTTACACTGAAATACGTCCTCGCCGCAGACACGTCGGTCGCGGTTGTTTGCTTGCGTCATCACAGCGAAGTTTCGGCCGTGTTGTTTCGGTTAGCGGTTAGCGTTAGCGGTTAGCATCCCTAAAATAAAGTCGTTAATCACGTCTCTGAATGTTTTTGAACTCTGACCCCGTTTACAAACTCGGACAGGAACAGAGTCCCGCTCTGCTCTTCCTCTGCTGCCCCCCGCTGACAGAGAAGAGTACTGCTCCCACTTTATTACCGCACAGACACTCAACACTGACACGTCGTCATGACGACCTCTCAGGTTAAAAACCACTGATCCACTCCTGAATGTGGACCTGAAGCGGTTCTGGTTCCTCCCCCTGTAGGTGGCCGCGGTCCGTGAGGGCATGTCCTGGATCGTCCCGGTTCCTCTGCTCTCCCTGCTGACGGCCAAACAGCTGGAGCAGATGGTCTGCGGGATGCCGGAGATCTGCTGTGATGTTCTGAAGAAGGTGGTCCGGTACAGGGAGGTGGACGAGCAGCACACCCTGGTCCAGTGGTTCTGGCAGACCCTGGAGGAGTTCTCCAACGAGGAGCGGGTCCTCTTCATGCGCTTCGTCTCCGGACGCTCACGGCTGCCCGCCAACACGGCCGACATCTCGCAGAGGTTCCAGATCATGAAGGTGGACCGGGTGAGTCCGAGGGGGAGGGGTCAGGGGTCAGGGGAAAACCTGGACTGAGGTTCTCTGCAGCTCCTCTGGTGGTCCTCCTCACTAAACCAGACCGGACCTGGATCACCAGGTTCTGGACCCGTTCAACCCAAAAAAACAAAAAAAGGGTTCAGGTCCAGGACGTGAACCAGAATTCAGGTCCAGGACCTGATCCAGTCTGAGGTCCACTCAGAGGAGAGGTGGGTCTGTAAGGTCCGGTTCAGAACTCAGAGCTGGTCTCAGGTTCCTCCTCCGAAGTCGAGATCTGTGAAGAAACGGGTTTCCTGAAGTCTGAGAGACTAAAAACCACAAACCTCCTCCTCTTCTCCTCCTCTCCTCCTCCTCCTCTTCCTCCTCCTCATCCCCCTCTTCTTTTTCTCTCCTCCCCTCTCCTCCTGCTCTCCTCCTCCTCCTCTTCTCCTGCTCTCTTCCTCCTCTTCCTCCTCTTCCTCCTCTCTTCCTCCTCTTCCTCCTCCTCTCCCTCCTCTCCCTCTTCTTCTTCTTCTTCCTTCCTGCTCTCTTCCTCTTCTCCTTTTCTCCTCCTCTTCCTCCTCTTCATCCTCCTCTTCCTCCTCTTCTCCTGCTCTCTTCCTCCTCTCTTCCTCCTCTTCTCCTGCTCTCTTCCCCCTCTCTTCCTCCTCTCCCTCCTCTCCCTCTTCTTCTTCTTCTTCTCTCTCCGCAGCCCTACGACAGCCTCCCGACCTCTCAGACGTGTTTCTTCCAGCTGCGTTTGCCGCCGTACTCCAGTCAGGCCGTCATGGCGGAGCGGCTTCGCTACGCCATCAACAACTGCCGCTCCATCGACATGGACAACTACATGCTGTCGAGGAACGTGGACAACGCCGAGGGCTCGGACACGGACTACTGAGGCGGGCTGTCTGATCTGCACACACACTCACACACACACACTCACACACACACACACTCACACACACACACACACACACACACACAGAGCTGCACACACGTCGGGAACTCGTCAGACAACGGGCCACTTTTTAACCTCATTTTATCTCCTTTAAACAGCACAGACTTGGTTTATTAGCAGTTTTTAAATCCACACAAAGACGAAGAAGAAGAAGAAGAAGGAAAGGAAGAAGGAAAGGAAGAAGGAAAGGAAGAAGGAAAGGAAGAAGGAAAGGAAGAAGTGCATTCAGTGTTTCCTTTTTTTTCATTTGGCCACATCCCATTTCCAGGGCGTGGAGGTTTGTTTTGGTTTGGACTGTGTATAGCGAGTGGCGGAGGATCTTGTACATTGTGTAAAATGCTTCATTAGGAAAATGTTTTGCATAATCTCCATATTTATTGTTTTCATTGCCTACGCCGAGTTTCCCAAAGCAGAGAGAAAACCAACAATAAATGCTGCAGAATTCACCCTCGCTGTCCTGTGATTGGTCAAAGAAAGAGGCGCAGACGGACGACGTTCAGAAACAACATTTATTCAGAAGTACAAAATATCACAAAGACCGTCTTCTCCGGGAGTAAAGTAAAAACTGTACAGAAATTAAAAAAAACAACCTCTCCAAGGGTCAAAGTTCAAACTGCTCCTGTCGCTCAGAGCTGAGGGTCAAAGGGTCAAAGGGTCAAAGGGCAGGATGCTGACATTTACGTCACACAGGCTGTCAGTGAACGCACCACATTAGCAGAGCTGCAGCCCTCGGTCCGTCTGCACATGATGTGAATCTGAACAGTAAACCAGAACAGTAAAGCTGCATTCTCTCTGATGACCAGCAGGGGGAGCTAAGATGAGAATTACTGTGAAGAAGTCAAGAGGAGACACCTCAGTAAACATGTTTCTGCTCCTTCAGAGTCCTTCTCTAACTCAGCAACTCAGGATCTTTTATTTAGAGTCAAACTACGTCAGGTTCAGGGCCGTCTGCAGGATTTACCTCCGCTTTACTCTTCTGGACCTGAGCTGGATGTGCATGTGTGTCGAGTAAATCCTGTCTCAGGCTCTTAAAGGGGCCCGCCCCCTGCAGGTGTCTATAATTCATATTCATATTAACGTCGGGCCTGTAATCTCGTTCTTTGGTAAATGGGCGACTGGACTTCTTGAAGTTCTGAAGATGTTTCTCCTCAGGCTTGAAGAACCATGACCAGGATGAATGAGAGCCTACACAGACAGAATACAGGAAGTCATCTTACTTTTCAAGATGTTCCTTTTTACCCTCAAAAGACTGAGGTCAAAGTTAGACTGAGATCAAAGTTAGACTGAGATTAAAGTTAGAAAACCGAGATTAAAGTTAGAAAACTGAGATTAAAGTTAGAAAACTGAGATTAAAGTTAGAAAACTGAGATTAAAGTTAGAAAACTGAGATTAAAGTTAGAAAACTGAGATTAAAGTTAGAAAACTGAGATTAAAGTTAGACTGAGATCAAAGTTAGACTGAGATCAAAGTTAGACTGAGATCAAAGTTAGAAAACTGAGATTAAAGTTAGAAAACTGAGATTAAAGTTAGACTGAGATTAAAGTTAGAAAACTGAGATTAAAGTTAGAAAACTGAGATTAAAGTTAGAAAACTGAGATTAAAGTTAGACTGAGATCAAAGTTAGAAAACTGAGATTAAAGTTAGAAAACTGAGATTAAAGTTAGACTGAGATCAAAGTTAGAAAACTGAGATTAAAGTTAGACTGAGATCAAATTTAGACTGAGATCAAAGTTAGAAAACTGAGATTAAAGTTAGAAAACTGAGATCAGTCTTCAGATTCTGACTTGAGGCAAAACGTCTTAGAGAACCCGAGTCCAGCTGCCTATTTAACCATGATCTGGATAACCACAACTGTAAACTTGTTAGTCTTAGGCCGGTCAAACTGGTTAAACTGGTCAAACTGAGAGCAGTAAGTAACCAGCGCAGACATGAACCTACAGGAGGACTGAAGGCTGGAGGTGCTAGCTCTGCTAGTGTTGGTATCACCCTGCAGACTCTGACCCCGGGTTTAGCTGCTGGAGGGACTCACATCCTCCTCCTTTCCTTCCCTAGTTAAATGAGGAGGAGGACGTGCGTCTCCTCAGAGCATCAGCTCATCATCTGAATCCGATCACATCTGGATTAAATGTCGTCTTCTTCATTCCTGGTTCTCTGATCTGAGTTTGAAAACTCTGCGACTCACTTTAGTCTGAAATAAACTCTGACCCCAGCAGCAGACGAGTAAAGAAAGATGACAGCACCAATAACTGACAGGAAATGAAGTTTCCCTCTGCAGGAACACAGCTCCTAAAGTCGGTGTTTGTTGCACTGAGGTGAACCCGTAAAGATCCAAACCCGTCAGAAGTTTCTGGAGCTTCACTGACTCTTTGATTCACAGCAGAGTTTGAATCTCAATATTTGTGGACTCTCTCTCCACCACGGACACAGTATTTACTGCTCTTAGAAGTCCTCACTGTTCCTCTCCTGAACCCACAGAAGAAGAGAGCTGAGAGTCTGGACCTGTGTCCCGGTTTATGGGTCCAGATACTGTCATGGAGGAAACCTTCAAAAACCTTCAGACTAACAGGAGTGAGGAGCCGGACCCATCAGCATCTCTGCAGACTTTCAGAGTCAGGACAGTTTTTCATGAATCCCTAAATCCAGATCAGATTGTGCTTTAGGACTTTGGACCATTGAAACCAGTTCAGTCAGAAACAACAACAAACCCAAACCAGCAGGTCTCCCCATCAGGGCGTCCACAGAGACCACCTGCTGAGAATGACCGTTGAAATATTGATATTTAGCCGACAGTAATTCGGTCTAACCGGTGAACCGTTGGTCGCTCTGTGGGAGTGTCTCCACCAGCAGAAGAAGACAGTGAGTCTCAGAGCTGGAGACGAGGAACAGCAGAACTCTGGACATCATGCAAACGACCGGTGAGTGTCGCCCAATTTCTGCCGCATCCGGGACGGCAATTCCACCAATTCTGCCGTTTCCGTTTGTGAGGCGAATTTCGTGGCTGATTACAGACAGCAGGAATCACAAGATCTCACAAGAACCTGCAGATTCACGTTCAATCTCACGATAACGAGTCGTCTCTCTAAAGACAGACACATAGACATATAAGCAGTAGATTGTGTCCTTCCAGAGGAGGAAATCTACTTCTAGACTTCTAGAATCAGCATCTCCTCATCCATGGTGTCATCGGGGTGAAATGACGTCTAAAAACCTTTCAGAATCAGAGACACAGACTTAAAAAAACAACAACAAACAGTATTTCAATTAAATCCACGTACCGAGGTTAAAGGGTTAAAATATCGGAAATTAAACCGATTTTTATAGTTTTCAGATGATTTCAAACCAATTATGTTCAACAGGTTAGTCACATGACTCTGGAGTGGAAATCTCCACATGGAAAGGACAACTAGAAATCATTCAGTCCGTTTCCATGACACTCGAGAAAACCGAATTATCGCCTTATTCCGATGAAGACCGGACAGCTGAAGGTCATGTAAACATCTTAGTCCGACTATAATCAGAGTTAGAGAAAGAAGTCGGTGGAAATCGACACGTTAACTTGAATGGTTAGGATCAGGGTCTGAGACCGTAGACCCGATCCTCTCTGTGGAAGTCCGTTATTGAGAAACCGTCGGTCTCACAGAACGAGTGGATTTTATTCTTACAGCACAATAATACGGACCTGTGTGTCCTTTACCATGATCACTCTCTCAGTCCGCGTTTTCTCTGACCTTTAACCTCAAAGCTGGGTCAGTTTGAACCGGTTCTGATCTGTAAACAGTTCTGGATTTCTGTCTCTGATCTGGATCAACAGCAAACTTCGAGGTGATCTAAAACCTTGAGGAGGAAACTTCAGACCTGAACGTGGACAGAGTCCGTCAGCTGGTGGGTTCTACCGGGTTACCTTAGTGCTTCTGGGTCTTACAGGACCAGGATATGTGAACTAGAACCTGAACTGGTTCTTGATAAAGGGGAGATGCTGATCGGGTCCGACCCTGAACCTGAAGGTCGGAGGTCCTCATGGACCAGATCTGCTCTGAGGTAGAAGATCAGCTAAAGAGGAGGAACCAGGACTGCATACCTGAGAAGAGTCCAGACCACCAGAACAGCTGTGAGTGTGTGTGTGTGAGTGTGTGAGTGTGTGTGTGTGAGTGTGTGTGTGTGTGTGAGTGTGTGTGTGTGTGTGAGTGTGTGTGAGTGTGTGTGTGTGTGTGTGTGTGTGTGTGAGTGTGTATTAGCCCCCCCCCACCAGTCTTTTTAACCTCCGACCTCTCTACTGGGTCAGATCAGCTGATTCAAACATCATCTCGCTCCCGTCCGTGTTTCCTCGCCACGCTCTGGCTCCTCCTCCTCGTCCTGCAGGTCCCGCCCCCACTCGACAGCACGCCGTTTTGATCTGAAGTAGAAGACTTGATTCAGGTTTTAAGGCCGTTTGTGTCCTTAGACTCTGGAAGCCATGATAGTCTTGGAAGCTCCGCCCTCAAAATGTCCACCCGCCGTCCTCCGCCACTCTGGGAGAGATGATGCTCTCCTTGGCCTGCAGGAGGCGCTCCAGACACGGCGAGCTGATCTTGAAGGGCAGCGGTCCCCGGCTTAGGCGAGGGGCGGCTGGGTGGAGTTGGCGCCGTGGGCCACAGTGGAGGTCCGAGGTGGAGGAGACGGCGTTGTCCTGGGTCACTTTCTGGCTGCAGCGTGTGGGCGGAGCAAAGGCGTAGCTTACAGTGGAGGCGGGGTGACGGGTGAGCGAGGACCCCGGTGTTTTCAGGGAGCAGATGGGGGTCATGTGGAGCCATTTGAGGCAGGTGGAGGAGTGAGAGGCAGTGAGGGAGGACTCCACGTCGGAGGGGGGAGGAGGTGAGGCACTGCTGTGAGGCTGCAGGGAAGGAGACAAGAAACAAGGAGAGGAGGGTGTGAATACGAGCGTGAGACGATCAGCACGGCGTGTAAACATAAACGACACGCCTCCGTCTCCTCCCACTGTTCTCAGAGTCCAGCTGCAGGTCCTGCTTTCTACTTAAACCCACTTTGAAACCAGTAAAATCAGCCCCACCCCCCCACTCCCAACCAGCCCCGCCTCCTCCATGTAAACAGATGAGACATGAATCCAAGAGACGGCAGCTAAAAACCGTCAGACTTTGATTAAACAAATAAAACTGTGTCTGTAAAATCCAAACTGACCGGTTCTGACCTGCTCTGACCCGCTCTGTGGTTCTGAAACTTCATTTTTGATCAAATCTGTCAATAAAATCTTGATTTCAGTGAAAATGTTCCTGTGCTGGGGATCTCCTCTCTTCATCAACCTCCTCTCTCCTCTCCTCTTCTCTTATTGATCGACCTTAG